CGCTTAATCTGCGTGGGGAAAGCCTGGCTTGCAGGCAGCCAGCCACTTAAAGAAAAACCCTTTTGCATATCCTCGATGAGGCTGGTATCCGGAAGACCATACGCAAGAATCAATTCCTGCCACAAGAGGAGCCGTTTGCCTTTCAAGGTCTGACGGATGTGAGGAGGAAGCGCTGCGTGAAGTGCATCCTCACGGCCTTGAAGTTCCTTCGCTCGCGCAGACCAGCGAGCTATGAATTTTAAACGGTGCTTAGCCAAAGAAAATTCATCACCTAGAAGGTTCTCTTTGACCACGGATTTCAAGGCCGGTTCGAGACTGTCAACGAAGTCTCTTGGGTGTCCAGCACTTACGGCCCTTTGCACAAACTTATCCGGAGCAAGGGGGATGCCAAACCTGAAAACCTCCACCCTGGTTCCAGGTTGCGGGTCGGAAACCCTACAGTGCAAGCCTACAGCAGCTACTCGTTTCTCGGCCTGCACATCGCCCCAAGTGGACAAATGCCGAGAAATAAAATGCCCTTTTGGCGGCGCCACTGCAGTTGGTTCCGAGTTTTGAACATAATCGATGACATGAACGTAGTAACCAAACTCGGGCAGCACACCCGGTGACCGCGTAGGCTGGAGGCCAAGGGGAACACGAGCAACAGGCGGCGTGTGAATTTGCTGCTCACTCAAAGAGGTAGCTTCAGACGCGCCCTCCTTGACAACAGAATCCCTCAGCAAGCCAGCTACACGCTGGCAAAAGAGACTGGGATACACGCTGATGGCTTGACTAAAACGCCCGTTCTTGGAGACAGGTTTCCAGGACGTATGCACATGGTGCTCGGACTCACCTGGGCATGTAAGTTGCAAGGCATCAAGGAAGTGCGAAGAAGTCCATAGCTTGCACGGTTTAGGTCGATCTCCGCCATGAGCACACATGTGGAAGGGAACCCAACATGACTGAGGGCTCAGAGCCTGAAGGGCACGAAAGAAGGAGGTCTGCCAAAAGAGCGAATTCTGAGGATTCTCAATAACACAGCGAACGCCTGAAAGGCAGGCTGCACGCAGCACAAGGCAGACCGACTCAAAAACCAGATTGGCGGTTTCAAGCTTGCGTTTGTCTGCCCCACAAAGCCCGGGGACACCATCCGGATGTGCCGAAGTCCGTAACGGCTTGGGCTCGCGCAACTGACTCCCTCTCAACTGTGGAAGAGGTCTTTCACGAGCTGGTGTAGAGGTGCTGTGGGGCACACGGGCCCAGACCATTGCCACTCGGGAAGCCTCATGTTTGAGCATGGTGGTGAGGCCAGCGACGCTGTCTGCACACAAAAGGTCGAAAGACAAGACTCTCACAGATGAAGAAGCAGGTTTGCGATCGAGTGCCAAAGTTTGGAAGCCGATCTTTCCACACGCATGGCTGATAGCGGCAGGGCCGCAGCACAGTTCGATCACAAGCATATCCTGCACATGCAACGACGGAGGTATTTGCATGGGTTCCCCTGTCGAGACCGCAGGACTCAAAGAAAACCCCAAATCCTTCAGAGCACAAATTTCGTGGGACTTTAAATGATCAGCGAACCGGGTGTTGTACCCGACAAGGACACATCGCCTGCCCGACCAAGACAAAGTGCAATGCTTGTCACGGGTGGCTGAAAGCCATTGCGGGCCTTTGTCAACAGGGAGAATTTTGCCCTTCAAGCGCGAGTCATGAGGACACACGACATCACCATCTTCTGCCTGGTACCAAACGCCCCCACCTTGGAAAGAACTGATCGGCACAATGATGTTCCAGCTCTGGGGCTCGTTGTTCGCGTCAACATGCAGACTACTCTGGCATTGATCCAAGAAAATGAATGAAGTAAAAGGCGCCCCTTTCATGTGCGCACTCAGAAAATTGCAAATCAATCTCACGGCACCTGCATAGGCCATAGTATTAGAATGTAGACCGACAGCTCCACCGTGTACAAAACTCCCGGCAGCAAAGGATTGACCCTTCCCGTCCGACTGACGAGGCGAAGGGGATTTGGGCAAAGCATCAAACAACCTCAAGATGTCATCACTGCACAGAGTTTTCTGACTCAGAGATTCGATCAAGTCACTAAGATGCTCTGCTTCTGTGGCAGTGGGGCGAGCTGGAGCTCCAAGCGAATCCGAGCCGCCTCCAGTATCAACACGAGGATTCTTCACCGCAGGTTGTTCACCTGGATCGGAAGAAGCATCGCCTGTGCCTAGTCAAGGCTTCGGCTTAGCGCGACAGGTTGCAAAGCTGTGGTTTGCCTTATGACACTGCACACACACATGAAACCCTTTGGAGCACCGCGGCAAGCCTTCCACCACTTTGGTCTCGGACGTGCAACCTTCACCATTATGCGCCCAACACACGGGTCCCTTAGAAAACCTTGGGCATTTCTTAAAGGACTCTGGCATGAGAGCCCGCGCCTTCTTACGAATCTTCTTCTTTGTCGGGGTTTTCTGCGGACCATGTGGCGTAGGAAGATCTGGCACCTCGGGCACTGCACCTGCACCTGAAGCAGATGAGACATTAGTGCTTGCGACTGGCGTGAGCCAAACCTGAATCCGCTGATCAAACATCATACTCGTAAAAGGGGCATCTAATGGCTTAATCCCGGTAGGCAACGACTTGTAAGGTGGCTGTACCTCTCTTGCAAGCAATGTCCACACTTCTTTGTCAGCCCTGATAAGCTGTTCAGTGCGCACAGGAGAGCAATGACTCGGGACCGGAGCGGTCAGCAGATTCAACAGGCGTTGCACATACTGTTCATGAACTGCCCACGACAGCAATCCGCACTGGTCCATAGCAATTCCACGTCTTTGCCAAGCCCACATAAGGTTGAGCGGACTGGACAAGTCCACTGGGATTTTAGGCTGAGGCGCTGTCAACTTCAACGCATCTTTCTCAAGATGAACGACAGGAGACTTTTCCGTGATTCCGATCGCAACCTCAGCATCCCTCTTACTGCAAACCGAAGGCGGCAACCACACTAAAGCCCCAGACTCCAGCATGGTATTGCACTTGTCAACTAGGTTGTAAGACGGCTGAAGCTCACCAGTGATGGCGACTCCACTCAGCCTACGCTGCTGGTCAAGGGCACGAGCTGTTCGCTCCGGCAGCGGTAAGCGCTTGATCTGCACATCCGCGGTGTCTGAAGATGCCTGCTCCTTGAACACTTGAATGACATATGTCGTGGCTTCAAAGTGAAGATCCCTCAGGATAGCAATCTTTCCCAGTGCCGGACTCGCACCAAAGACCTGTGTTGCCAAGTCGGAGTACTGCTGAGCCGACGGCTCTACTCTGGGGGTGCCTATGGCAAAAGCAAGCTGACGAAAATTGCGAATGCCCTGGGCAACCAAAGCCGCGTGCAGCGACCCATCTGAGCTGACCTCGGAACACCTTTGCAGGAAAGCAGCCTCAGAGGTGATCAGCGCCATGGGTTTCCAAGCTCGAGACCGACTCAATCAGTTACGTCCTGAAGACACTCCGTTTCGTACACCGTGACTGTTTTTGCCTGTGCTACGAACACATGCACGTACATCGCTTTCAAGTCCGAGCCAAAACTTGCACAGGCCATTGACTCGCACGTCGCCAGCTGCTCACCCCAAAGGGGAATACAGCCCACGCAAGACAACGATCACAGGCCATGCACTTGGCTCCAATGGCTTTGCACAGCGTGACTGGACTCGCAAAGTCGCCCTTGCACGGTTCTCCTCCACCTGCAATCACTCACCTTGTGGACTCAAGGAGGCAGACCTCCCGACTCGCCACCAAGGGAATGGACTGCTGGGGCACGAAGATCCAACGGACCCCTCTTTCGCGCTTGCAGTCGAAGGTCTATCTGCGGAAACAAAATTTGCAGGGCAAGTCTTCCTGCTCTAGAGCATCGTTGCTATGCTTAAAATGTCGGGAACCCACCTTCCGCCCACAGGAAAACAAATTCTTGAAGTGAACTTTAGGAGCAAGGTGGGCTACCTTTGATGATTCATGCCTCCAAACATCAAACCCTACCGGAACCACAAGGCCCTGAGCAACCAATGCAATCGGTTGCCCATCGTCCTCATCAGATTCATCCGAGGATTCTCCTGGGGAGTCACCCGGTTCGGACTCACTGTCCACGACGATTGGCTCACCAGCTGAACACTCTTCGCCAAGCTCAGATTTGCACTCCTGTCCCCTGGAGACATCAGAGGCTTGCGGGAGCACGCTGGGCCCACCTATCCCACCGACTTCAGGAACAAAGCTGCTAACCAAAGGCTGAGCTCTTTCCGTGACCAAGCGTCCACTCCTGGTGTCATCAGGCCGAAATGAGCCATCCCTGACTTCCTTCAGAAGGCGCTCGACAACTAGCAACAGTGGGGCTTGAGCATCACGACTGTACACCAGGTCCATTCCACCTGCAGCGTGATACCCAAGCCTCTGGAGGGTTAGAGGATCAACACCCCGCTTTGCCGCCCAAGAAATCATGGTTGCCTTCATGGATTTCGAAGCAATGCGAGTATCACCGTCCTCAACTTGCAACAACAACCTGAGCCAAGCTGTAGCCTCATCGGTGTCTAGGGCTCTGACCGTTGGTTTTCCCTGAGCATCCGGTGCCGGCATAAATGGACACTTACCTGAATCGGTGATCCCAAGGTCCACTCTGCACGCCCTCCAGAGTTCTCCGTATGGCCTGAGCCCAAGCGAAGGTGCCACCGCATGCAAGAATTTATGGCGCTTACTCTGAAGCCTGCAAGTCTTGTGCACACCGATACGCAATTCGATGTAACAAAGGTCAGCTTCGAAACCTATGTCCCACATGACGGTCTCTGTGTGCTGGACATCACTCCACCGGCATCTGCTGTACGCACACACCAACGCTGCGCCTGCGAAGGCTCTGCACCACGGGTCTGGATGGGACTCCAGAACATCATGTAGCGTTTGCAACTGATGCACAGTCAAGGGTGATGCTTGCTTTGGCTCCTTGAAGAATTCCGAAGTGCAAATCCCTTTGCACCGTCGACTGCTACTCACAACCTCGAGCTCTGACACTCCGACCACATGCAGAGTGAAGTTGATGGCCTCCATCACAGACGACAAACGACTCGGTGGCGCGCCATCTCTTTCAAGAGTTTTCAAGAAGTCATACACATGCGATTCGGCACATGGAAACGTTACACTCTTCTCCATGATGAAGTCATGTAGCAAAGTCAAGCTCCTAGCACGCTTTAGAACAGTAGACGGAGCCTTGCCCTTCATGATGTCCCCAAGAACCTCAATCTGGTCAGCCCTGGATGAGCAAGCATCCAACTGGGAAACCAGCAGGCAAGGTCCCCACTGAAGAACCATGCACAGCCACATCTCCAAGCCAATCGCTAATTGCTCACTACGCTGTTGCTTCCAATCAACGATCGCCCTGGCTTTGACCACCTTGCTGAACGACACATCTTTCGAAGTCCTTCGCGCCCTCTTTGCTGCAGCCTCGGAATCCCCTGCAGGGATCCCGGCCTCACCCTCAATGAAGATCCGCGCGGCTTTCTTCACAGGCAAATCAAGAAAATCTTTACCCCCAAAGATCACCCCGAAAACACCCTCATCCCACGGTTGAGCGAAGGCCTCCAGGTCACTGGATGCGAGGGGCACTTGACATGCACTCCTGAAGGTAGCTTCAAAATCAACTGCATGGCCTTCCAAAGGGTCCGACGCTGGCTGCAACACTACATGCGGCTCGGAATCGCGGACCTGGTTCCACCACAAGCTTTCTGGACCAGCTAAGTTGATCAAGGCTGCGTCCTCTGATTCTGCAGGAATTGAAGGAGACTCTGCACAAGATTGTTGATCCAAAGGAAGCGCACCCCCAAACCTAAACTCAGCAGCAGCTTTCTCAAGGGCATCGGTGTCAAGCTCGGCCTGGGAGCTGGCACCTTGGCAGGGGCCCTCGGCAGCATCCGCATTCACCAAGTCTGGAGCAAAGGTCCCACTAAGGGGGCTGTTATCCTGCCACACGTTGGCACTGGCACCTGACAAGCCCGAAGAGCCCAAACCTTGCAAAGGCAAATCAGGAGCCTCAGCTGCATCCTCACCCCCAAGAAGATCTGAGGCGGATAAGGGAGGAGCAGGCGGAAACGCGTGGTCTGCCATGTATGCAATGCTCACAGCGACTCGCCAGCGACGTGAGCGCGGCGAGCCTGAAGGCCGACGGTGCGCCTGTAGCGCTCATCCGCCCCCCCACTCAGGGGGGAGGCTTGCACGAGGCCTAAGGCCACTTACTAGACTCTCAGCCTCAGGGCCCTTACACGACAGGGGACTTTAGAGGCCCAAAAAAGAAATTCTCGCCAATCACCTCGAAAGGGAAAAAGGCTGCAGCATGAGAATTTCATTCACCACACAGCATGTGTGAAAACAGCAAGCTAATTTTCCAAGGAAAAATTTTCCTCAAAACGATTGAATAAAGTAACATCCCCTTTTTCGAGTATCAGTGCGGGGAGTGTGTACTGATGATAGAAATCCCTTCTATCAGTTATGGAGCCGCACAGGAGGGACTTTGGCCGCAGCAGGATGTTGCACATCAGGGCTCCAGGCGGGAGCTCTCGAGATGGCCCTTCGAGGCATCGCTCAATGCCGTTAAGCGACCGTCGGTCGCCTATCTGTCTATCCTGCTTCTCATTCTTTCTTGCGTTGAAGACCCTGACCTTTTGCCACGCCTTCACCCGATCCTTTGTAAAGCCCAAAAGGCCAAGCTGGTTCCACCTTGCGTAAAGCTCCGGGAGCTCATGAGCAGAATCGGTGCAAGTGGCTGGGTGAGGGCTCGTAGGCTCATCCTCGGTGAAGCGTAACACCCGCGGTTCAAGAAAAGGCATCACGAGAGAAGGCTGAAGGTAGGGTACCGGCCAAAAGTGCCCAGTACCGGAAATCTTCAAGCGAGCCGCGCACAGGCTAGAGTAGGGACGGAGCTCGGGTCGGTCCGGGTCGACGGGCTCGGCAACTCCGTGGTTCCCTGCAGCATCATAACCTGCGCCAGGTGACGGTGTGTGTCGGCCGGCATAGGCGGCCAAGTTCCGAAGGCATGCAGTCAATTCATGGCTTCGTCGCCCAGGACACATAGGAATCTGGGGGGCGAGAGAGCCACACGCGCGAAGAAGCCGCTGGATGCGATCGAAGATCGCTTCCTGGGAAGAAGACGGCGGCCTCCGAAGCTCGGCAGAGGGAATCCAATTCCTTCCGCAGAAGACGTAGTTGAGGCACATCGTTAGAACATGCACCCCTCTCTTGAGCACGAGGCTCTTGAAACGTCCCTGTGCCATCTTCGGGCCACTCCCATCGAAGACGCCCGGATAGGGCACTGGGAGCGGAAAAAGCGCGGGAGCGGACACGGACTCACCGTTCCTTTGCAGGTGAAGAGTGCTCGCAAGGAAGCGAGAAAACTTGGTATTACAGGCTAGGATGCGCCTAGGCAAGCTGGCCAAGAAATTCGTAAAAGGCAAGACGCCATCGAAGTTGAGGACGTCGTCATGCAACAGCTGTTTGCATTGCTCGTGGTGCATCGATGCAGTCGGTGGGTCTCCGGAGGAGACCGAGGCAGCCTCTAAAGTTCTGTACGGCGCCTGGACGAGTGAAAAGGAGGAGTCTTGCTGGCCATGACTTCCTCCCGGTGCGCTTGAAGTGCTGTGGCTAAGCACATTAGGCGGGCCTTTCAAAGGAGCCCCCTCGTGAGAAAAGGCAACCTGATGGCTACATATAGTACGGACAGAAAAGGACTCGGTGCGCGATTCGACCTGCATTCCTGGTCGGCTGCCCTCGCATTGCACATGCCCTAGAGGTCGGAGAGGACTTACCCTGCTTTTCTGGACTGCCCTCGCATTGCACACGGGGTCGGGAACTAGTAACCCTAGGGGTAGGAGAGGGCTCGGCGACTAGCGGGGCTTGCTCCTCGGAAGGACCACCTTCGCATTGCACACAGGTTAGGGAACTAGTAACCTGAGGGGCAGGGGAGGACTCGGTGCCGAAAGTGACCTGCTTTTCTGGCCGGCTGCCCTTGCTTTGCACACGGGTTCGGGAACTACATACCTTAGGGCTCTGCAGGGCTTGTGGGACAGCGGCCGCACGGCCTTTCAACAAAGGTTCATCTCAAGGTGGCGACAATGCCTGCACAAGAGATATCACGATCCTCTCACCAGGGGCCGAATTGTCAGGTTTTGAGGAAAAACCCATGATTCGGCTCCCGGCCCAAACACGAGGAGCCGAATTGTCAGGTTTTGAGGAAAAACCGATGATTCGGCTCCCGGCCGAATTGTCCTTTTCGGAGGGAAAACCGACAATTTCGCCTCCGGCTGTTTCTGAAGAAAACCTGCAGAAGCGGCTGGGCGCCCACACATAAGCTCTGAGAGCCCTTCAGGAAAGTTAGCAGGGAAGAGGAGGCCGCACGCAGCGGAGGTTTCGGACCCCTTCTCCGAGTAAG